CTCAAAGATTCATTTACAAGTGAGACCTGTTTGGACAGACAAAAACAGTGGTTAACTGGACACATGTAGGAGTTGGAGGCGAAAAAAATTCCTATCAGACTTTTTTTCCTGCCTGAGAAAAAAAAAAAACCTCTGATATTAAAAAAATCACCTCGCTCAAACAAGCACATATTTACGTAATCTGCAGACGGGGGAGACGAGAGCGGTCAGCAATGTTCATAGATGCTCTCGAGGTCACTAAGAGTTCTGATAAGGATGGAAAATCAGTTAATGTCCACCAGTGAGATCCATAAACATTCTCGAGGGATGTCAAGGAATGGCCAAGAATTACGTCTATGAGAATCCAAGAGTCCTGAAATGATGACACAAGTTTATTCAGCTGGTTTCATCTGGTTATCAGTTGGAAATTCCTCAGGGAGGGGGTGGTGAGCGTCAGAATTCATGTTCTCCAGGCAAATTCAGATAAGATGACCTTCAAGGCCAGCCAAGGGAGCCAACTTCAGATAAACACACAGTTGTTTTGGGGACAGGTGGAACTTAATGACATCTACCTTGAGTCTGTGTTGGTCCACTCAGTTCCAAAATGTCCAAAATACAAAATACATGGCCACACCGATGGAACGTGACTGAATAAAATCCCGAAGATCTGATCCATTCAGCCCAAAGCATTTGAGTCCGGGTACTCGAGACACGAACCAAGCCATCATAAAGGCAAGCAGCGTGATCGGGTCCAAATTTGCTGTCAACGACTTCCTTGAATGTAGATAAAACCAGCAACCAGCCGAATCCAAAAAGCAGGAACCAGTTATCGTAAATCCAATTAAATATGTGTCCTTAAAATCCAGAGATGGCAGCAGACACATCATCAAATCTTCCAGTCGATGAGATATCCAGCTGCGTGCGTGCCAACAGGGTAAATCGGCTCGCCTAAAGCCTGTCTTCTCTTTCAAGTAATGTTGTAAATTGAGTTGAGGGACCAACTGATCAAAACAAGTCCATAATTATGGTTCGGAAGATATGCAAGAGAGGCTCACAGCAGTTTCACAGACAGACAGAGCAGCAAAGCAAAGCGGAGAGGGAGGGGAGAAGCATCCGATCTCGGCGAGAGCAAGTGGTGAAGTGTTTTTGCACAACACCATTTGTTTAGTTTTTGCTGTTTTCGCAATTAAAGAATGTCCATGTGAATATATCAGTTCACTGCATTGACTAAACCTTTTGACTGGCTAGACATGCTGATCAAGTGGACTGAACTATTCAGCAACCTAGCACCATCAACATATAACAAACAAACAGTGTTGCACAATAATGTAGATCAGAGCCATTCAGCTGGAACCTGGGGGTCATATGTGGTTCAGGTTCAGCCCCCAAAGTAGTTCATTTAAAATAAAACTACATTTTAAATCAGAAAAAAAACATTAGTGAAACTTACATCTAAAATGACTAATATTTTCATTGTCAACCTTTATAGACGTTCCAGAAATTATACATAATTTCCCCCATTTTTCATGACTATGGACAAACAGAGAAAATTTTATGGACTCATCAAAAACTCAGCTTCAATTATATTTTACGTCTAACGGTCTTGTTTTCATCAAACATTGTTGCTTTTTCATGATAATGTGACACAAATAAAGAAAGAACCAGATATCTGACTCTATATTTATCCATGAATCTTGGGTAACACTACATGTTTCAGTAAACAACATAAATGTTTATGTTGTAAATAAAGTTTGTGCCATGTCAGAGTACTAAAGTGAAGCTTATGGAATTCTGAAAGTCAGTATACAGGTAGACATCTAAGGGTTGACATGCAGTGTAGAAACACTAGACTGAGCAACAGCTTCTACCCTAAAGCTGTTAGACTCATGGATCCCTAACCAGGAAAATCACTGTAACGCCACTTTAATTGGAGATTTGACACTTTATCTGTGCTGCTGATTATCCATGCTGCTGATTTCTTACCCATAAGCTGCTATATTCATATCCATCTGCTCACAACAGACTAACGTTCGGGCTGTTGTTTAATACATCATATTATATCTATCATTACTGATATGTCTTAGATACTTGTATAGTGTTTCTATTTTATATTTCATATTATGGCTACTTTTGGGTGCAACTGGGACCTTGAGTACACAATTTCGTTCCACCTCCACATGTGATGCGAATGACAATAAATAACCTTGAACCTTGATGTATGCATCAAACATCTCTTATAAATTATCTACGACAGAGCTATACAACTCAGTCTGCCTCCTAATGAACTAATTTAAGATAAAACTATATATTTTTAAAAAATCTTGAATTACATTCACATAATAAAAATGATAGCTGGATGTCTGGCCCATGCATTCTTGGCTTTAAGTAACTGCCCCCCTGAGCAATTTCCTTAAATCACCCTGGTGTAGAGGTTTAATATTAGATAATGCTGCGTTCTCGCACTGGTGTGTTGTTTTAAAGAAAAGATCATTTTATAAGCTTGAAACCTATTTTTTAAATTGTCTCTTATCAACTAGATATTTCACACTGATATGATTGTTTCAACTGTGTTTCAACTATGCCACGTTTTCTGTTTTAGTTTTCAATGTGCTTGCCTTAAAATCAAACACCGCATGCTCAGATAGCTTCATAGCTATTTCCCACATTCAAGTTTGACGTTCAACTCTAGTGTTTAGGCTTTTTACACCTGCTTTTCTTAAACTTTTATGTCCAAGTGTATATTAATTGGTATTTTACAAAAAAATAAAATGTCTCAATGTGCAATGTTGCCAGGTGTTGGAAAGACTGCAGCATGGTATAAACACTGACCATCAATGTAAACTGTTGAAAACTGTTCAAAAGTGAATGAAAAGATGAAACATCTAACATCAGAACAATTTTTAATGAATTTGTGTCAGTTGAGGATGAGTTTGTGCCGTAGTAAGTCAGTAACAAATGTACCAGTGCACAAATGACTTAACATTAAATTAAATGTTAAATAACTATAATTTTTTTTGTATTTAGGTGCAATGATAGTAAAGGTCTATTCTATTCTATTCTATTCTATTCTATTCTATTCTATTCTATTCTATTCTATTCCATTCTAGAATTAGGCAGGACTTTTTCTAAACCACAATTCATCTGAAAATAGCATTTGCGTTGGAACAAGATCTAACAAGGATAAGTCGGGTCCTCTGGACAGATTCTTCTTTGTTGAAATGTTTCGTCTTTTATCTAAAAGGCATCTACAGTCTGACTGATGATGCCTTTTAGATAAAAGACTAAACATTTCAACAAAGAAGAATCTGTCTAGAGGACCTGACTTAATCATGTTAGATTTATTTAGAGATTCTTGATCATGCATCTGTAACAAGATCAGTACATACAGTTGAGACAAAAAATACAGCTAACTGTGGAAAGTACTACTTACTTATGGATATTAAGGATAATTGTGTAATTAAAAAAAGCTAATTAAATCTCACTTATTAAAAAAAATCTTTGGTAACACTTTACAATAAGGCTCCCCTATGGCTATTGTTTATAGATGTCATTAATTCCAACCACTTTATAAATCATTAATAACTGCTTTTTATGCAATAATTAAGGGTGAACGAGAGACCGAACTGACCAGTTGCTTGCCAAATAATGTCATATCTGTTATATATTTCATATTGTTATATTAAACATTTCAGACTAAGTTACTACCTTGTAAGCACAATAAGCATTTGTAAACCCATTTCTTTAGCAAATAATATTGTGCCTAATCACTACATTATAAGCATCTAAAAAAATTAGTTTTACAAATTATTATTGTGCTTAAGGTATAGTAACAGTCTGAAATGTTTATTATAACTCTAGATGAAAAATATAGGTGGCAGATCTGGCTCACTATTTGGCAAGAAACTGATCAGTTTTGGCTCTCTGTCACCCTTAATCAATGCATAATAAACAGTTATTAATGATTTATAATGTGCTTATAGAGGAATAAATTCCGTATCTATAAACTATTTATTACCCATCTAACGGGAGCCTTATTGTAAAGTGGTACCCAATCTTTTAATGACTTTTATTTTTTGTGTGCTCTTGGCAAATGAACCCAGCTCCAGACTGCTTGATTCTTTCAGAATAAACATGGTGTGACCTAAAAATAAATAAACAATAAAATGCACTTTCAAAAAGCATCCAACAACAAAATGTCCGGATGAATTGTTTAACTTTTAAAATGTCCTCTTGCTCACCCGTGAGAGATGCCTCACAGGAATCCCAGCGTGCTGATTGGACCCCCCGCTGCGCTCCGCAGCACCTCGGAGCTTTCTGCTCAGATCACAGGCAGAATCTGGGAGGTCACGCGGGGGGAAGACAGCGCGCAAACGGAGGTGAGCGCACGTCTGCACGCACAGTTATGGGGATGAAGAAGAGCGGTCTTTGAAGGTGAGGAGAGAAAGGACGACAAGCCTGTTTGTTCAGCTCAATCCCTCTCCCGTTTTGCTCTTTCCACCAAGATGTGGGTCTCGCCGGGGGCTTCTCGCCGCGCGCGCACTTCCAGTTGCGTCGTAAGCTTGTCTGGCACGTGAACCCGACATGACTCATCAATAAAACTGTCCATAGTTCAGCATATCTAATCAGGAGCACCGAGGTGCAGACATAGGTTGATTGTTTGACATTTCAGAGGAAAACTGCCTTTTTTGTACGAACGTGGGAAGACGAGATTTACAAATGTCCACCGACCAGAGACAGCCAAAGATGGAGACTGCTGCTTTGAGAAATATTTTATGAAGCACACACGGGAGGTGTGGCGCCAACAGGAGGTTGCGGGACATGAATGGACCTTCGTGAAGAGTGCTGACCACTTTAGGAACTTTATACATCGCACGTGACCACAGCAACAAATGACCGCCTTTAAGTAGCGGACTCCCAGCCTGCGCTCTCGTGGGACTTTGCGGAGCGGGCAGGTGCGCTCCATGTTTGGTCCCGAGACCTGCGGGACATAAGAGGCTGGGACTCAGGCGGGGGGTCCAGTGATGCCTGACACGTTATCGCTGTTAAAGAACTGGACAGAGCCACGGCTTGGGCAGCTGGAGCGCAGCCTGGCCCTGGAGGGGACCGCCCGTCCCGCCTGGGTCATCTCCATCTTGGCCTGCGTGTTGATCTTCACCACGGTGGTGGATGTGCTGGGGAACCTGCTGGTCATCATCTCTGTGTTCAGGAACCGCAAACTGAGAAACGCAGGTGAGTTTCTTCTGCGGCTGAACGAACCTCTGAGTTTGGAGGGAACAGAGCACCTCGAGTTTCAATTAAGTTTGACATGATAAACGTTCACTTTTAATAAAGTTACTTTTAACAGATAAGGGAGCGTTAAACGGAACCCACATCACAACCCAGATTACAAGCTGTTAGATATTGGATTATCTGTCAGCCTGCACACAGAGCTTTATGATGGAGGAGTTAAAATGATCTGCTGACTGGCATATAAAAAGAGAGGACACAGCGAAATAATTAGAGTGCTGTTTTTATTCATATATCAGCTCTAGTGTAGCTTTCCTTTTTCACTCATAAAGGATAATGTTCGTAGTCCACCTTTCAGTCAGATGGACTTATGATCACCGGTGTATTTGAATGCCACCTTGACTTCAGACTCCCACATGCAGAACTAAATCACAGGATTTAAAAAAAAAACTAAGGTTCAGACAGAGTCCCTGGTGTTCATGGCTCTGGATTGGCTCAGTGTCTAAATTTGCGGAAGGAAGTGTATTTAGGAAAGTTACGAAATACATTTGCGAAGCTGGCCTCAGTGTTAAGTATGAATAGATTTGGGAAATATGATCTAAATATATATATATTATTTTAATTTGTTTAATTTAATTAAAGAATATTCACTGTGAAAGATGATAATTGCATTAAGAGTCAAGATCACATCTTTCCACCTCTTTAGGCCAAAGATGAAGGCTTTTCAAAAGAAGTAAGATTCATTTAACAATGTCATCTCTCTGTTCATAACGTTGGTATAAGCGTTTAAAACATTAAGATGAAATGAGTAAAGCTAAAACACAGCAGGATTCTGTATAATTGAAGTGGCTTATAATTGTATATTACAATTATAATTTGTAGAAATATAACATAGATATTTGTAAAAAAGAAATAAGAGATTCTAGGTTCAATATTTGAGAAAAAATGTGATCCCGTCAGGGTTTTGCTGAATGGGGACTACAACACTTCCAAAGAGGTCAATGAAACATTTTATATTGTTTGACATATAGTACACCTGTTCTCTTATGCTTCAGGAACCTTTTTATTAGCTGGGCAATTTAACATATCTTCCATCAAATCGAGTGTATCGCATAAATCACTGGGCAAGTTTAGCTGAAAGTAATATCTGTATATACATCTACAACGGAATAACTTTTGGTAGTACTTGAAAGTCATCCTGCATGCATACTCTATGTGAAATCATGTGAGATTCTGCACGAGATCGCTCATAGTGTCATTGACAATGTGTGACCAAAAGAGCTTCATTGTTCTCATTTCTCATCATAAAATGGTCTTAATTTAAATCTTTGGCATAAAAAAGCAATATTTATTTATTTTATAAATACGATAGAAATACTGGGTCTTTTAGTTTTATAGTAGTATAATTAAAAGTTGATGTTTCTATCTATTTATTTTTTATTTTAATATTTTCTTTGACTCGCTGAATGTTTTTATGAAGCTTGTTACTAAAATATTGCCTTGAATATAGGGCTCTTTTTTTATGGTACATTGTACCATTGTATGTACATGTATGGTACATACATGGTACATTTCTGCCTTAAAGCTGATCTCTCTCAACCTGAACAGCCCACTCAGCAGTTGAGAAATGGCACCAAACGTGTGGACTGAAATGGCTCACTTATCAGTTTCGATGGGAAAGTACCTGACAACAAGAGTGTAATAACAGTCACAGTGGGATCAGAGGGCAGTGTGTGATTACTCACCGTTGTTGTCCCTGCCATGGCAGAGTGAGAAGAGAGTCTGCGGCTCAGTCTAATAATTCATTAGATGCAAGCGTGGTGGGTGATAACTGGCCGTGCATTAGTCTCGCCTGCCCAAGCTCATGGCAAGCACTGCCTCATAGTAAATGGTGTACAACAGACTTATAATGATCCAGATATTGAATTGGATCACAACACAACAAAATGTGTGTGATTTATACAAAGCAGAACTCTCGAAGCATGTTCGTCTTGAATCCAAATAGTTTTGTTCAGAACTAACATATTCTGCAAGCATGTCTCCAGGAAAGATGGTGGCACTGTTTTTACTTTAACATAAGCATACTCAACTACATGCTAAAATGTACAATTCAGAGCATAATTTGTAAAAATGCACTTCCCTATACCTGTGTTTGCTTTGGCTATTTCATGCTCTTTTGTACACTTTTGTGAATGGGTATGCAAAATCAGCTTTTACGCTTATGCAGGACAGATGTATTTGCCCTATAAGATTTGGCTTTGAAATTGCTTAGGCGCTGCAAATCCACAGTTGGAGAAGAACATGCATCACAGAGACTCTCCTAAGAGACTTTCATTACGCGTTTTCTCTTATGTCTTCTTCAGCTTATTTTTACTAAAGCTGATCTCCTCTGCAAAAGTTTTGTTTAAAACACATTTTAGTTAAAACTAAAGCTTGAAAGAAAGAAGAAAAAAAAAGCTCACTGTTCAGTTGAGTTAAATGTTTACTAGCAAATTGTTCCTGGTACCTCTGTCCATGGTGCTGAAACCTTGACAACCAGAGTATTCATCTGTTTCTGTGGTGCTAAAATGCACACAAATGAACCAAAACAAACTGACTGACTTGGTACTCTTGTATATTGGTACACTGTGGTGGGTGATTATGGGATTGGGGGTCTGTCGCTACTGGCCATTCAGTACCTTTACAAGTGTGTGCGAGAGTTGTCGGACCCTTTCAGGGTGGGAGTTGGACTCTGCCAGGGCTGACCATTGTCACAGTTCTGTTTATAACTTTTAAGGACATAATTACTCCATGCAGCCAGGGGGCAGTGGAAGTCTGGTAGGTTCAGGATTCTGTCTCTGCTGTTTGTGGATAATGTGGTTCTGTTGTCGCCATTGTGTCCTGATCTTTAGTTCTCACTATATTGGTTCAAGTGTGAAGCAGCTGGGATGAGGATCAGCATCTTTACATCTGAGACCATGGTCCTCGGTCAGAAAAGGGTAGATTGCCCTATCTGGGTTGGGAGTGATGCTCTGCCTCAAGTGGAGGAGTAGTTCAAGTATCTTGGGCTTTTGTTCACAAGTGAGGGAAGAATGGGTCGTGAGATCTACAGACATATCGGTGCAGCTTCCGCAGTATTATGGCCTCTATGTTAGTCCATTGTGGTGAAGTGGGAGCTGAACTGCAAGGCAAAGCTATCTATACACTGGACAGTAAACATTTATACCCCCACTTAGGATCACAAACTTTGGGTAGTGACTGAAAGAACAAGATTGCGGATCACAATGTTTGCAGGGTGGCTGGACCCTCCCTTAGAGATAGTGTGGGAAGTTTAGTTATCCGGGAGAGACTTGGAGTACAGCCGCAGCACCTCCACATCGAGGTGAGCCAGTTGAGGTAGTTTGAGCATCTGGTAAGGATGCAACCTATACCACACCTCCCTAGGGAGGTTTCCTGAGCATGTCTGACTGAGTGAAAAACCCCAGGGAAGACCTAGGACATTCTGAAGAGACTTTATCTCTCTGCTAGCTTGTGAATCCTCCCCAGAAGTGTGTCTGTGGAAAGAGATGTCTGGGCCTCCCTGCTCAAAGTGCTACCCCTGCGACCCGACTCCAGAACAAGCGAAAGATAATGGGCAGATGAATGAATGAATGGCTCTTGTATTTAACGTTGTGCCTGTAAACATTGGAATTAAATTATACACTACAGCATGAATATTATTCCATTAGAAGGAGTGCACTGTACAGGTCTCTTGTCTCTTGTTGAGTCCTCTTGACTCAATGAGACTAACCTGTATAAATAAAGGTTGAATGAAAAAATGTACCATCAGACAAAGACAAATAATGGAAAAAGAACATTTGCTTTTAATAATGATTTGAATAGTTTTATAACTTGAAAGATATATTTACAAGGTGTGCAGCTTTTTTCATTACAGTTTATTTTTTGGCACTTGTCAAAACATTTTTTCAAAGCTTCTTTTTATAGATGTAATTACAATTCAGTTCATTTTATTTATATAATGCCAATTCACAACGACATTGTCTCAGGGCACTGTACAGAAACATTCACCTACATACAGAAGCCAATTAGTAAAGTTCTCTATTGAAGGAAACTGGCAGACATGTTGAATCGTCACTTCATCTCAGTCTCATCCTGAGCAAGCACAATGGAAACAGTGGAAAGGAAAAACTCCTTTTTAAAAGGAAGAAACCTCCAGCAGAACCAGGCTCAGTACAAGCAGCCATCTCCTTTGACCAGCTGGGTTTTAGAGGACAGGAAGGAGAGGCAAACAAACAGAACAGCAGGTCCAGATGCAGGTGCAGGTATAATGCCTACTGGAAGAAGGACAAAAACACATGTCAAGGATAGCAAAACATTTACAAATACAAAACAGGTTGAGCAGTGTAAGTAAAGACAGTAGCAGAGTGAAGTAATGTGATCAGTTTGTCCTCCAGCAGTATAAGCATATAGCAGCATAACTAAGGGATAGCTCAGGAAACCCAAGCCAACCCTAACTATAGGATTTATCAAAAAGGAGAGATTTAAACCTAATCTTTAAAGTAGACAGTGTGTCAGCCACACAGACAGAAACTGGAAGTTGGTTCCACAAAAGAGGAGCCTGATAACTGAAAGTTCTGCCTCCCATTCTGCTTTTGGAAACTCTAGGAACCACAAGCAAACCTGCAATCTGAGAGCAAAGTGCTCTGTTAAGAAAATATGGAACAATAAGGTCTGTAATGTAAGCTGGAGCTAAGTTGTTGAGAGCATTGCATGTTAGAAGTAAGATTTTGAATTATAATCTGAATTTTATAGGGAGCCAGTGGAGAGAAGCTAAAACTGGAGCAATATCTCTCCTATCAACTCTCATTAAAACTCTGGCAGTAGCAACATTTTGGATTAGCTGAAAACTTTTAAAAGAAGTTTGTGAACATGCACCCAGATAGTAAACAATTGCAATAGTCCAACCTAGATGTGATAAATGCATAGACCAGTTTTTCTGCATCATTTTTGGACAAGGTGTTTCT